TCGGTACCCACGAATTGTAGTTCGTCTATTTATAGCAATTCTCTCTCTCTCTCTTTTCTCCCCTTTTGCATGCCCATTTGTGTTGATTTTTTGGTCTAGAATGGACGAAGAGGGTTTGAATTAACATTTTCTGCCAGGTTTTGGTAAATATTCATGATTTTGAGGCGGAAGGATAAGAGGGTTATCAGGTTAGCTACGGCGATATATACGGCAACTAGTTACATGTTTTTAGTATGCTTCTTCAAGTTTGTGGCAAAGAGGCCAGAATTAACATTGAAGTCAATGGGGAAATTAATGGTGGTCTGCCTCCGTGTATTACGTCTAGATTTATGGCCCTTGTTTCACTTTATTGAACCTTGTGAACGCTATAACACCAAAAGTTATCATCCGATCGTTCTGAAATTTATATGCATCATTTAAATAAGTGAAACGAAGAAGCTTATTGAATTTCAGCAATTTCTGTTTATTATGTCTAGAGTTATGGCCCTTGTTTCACTTTATTGAACTTTGTGAATGCTCTAACATCAAAAGTTATCTGCCGATCTGTATGAAATTTACATGCGTCATTTAAATTAGTAAAGAGAAGAATCCTATTGAATTTCAGCAGTTTCTGTTTATTACTTCTAGAGTTATTGCCCTTGTTTAACTTTGTTCAACCTTGTTAATGCTCGATTGATGAAAGTTATCATCTGATATGTATGAAATTTATATGCATCATTTACATTTGTGAAACGAAAAAGCCTGTCAAATTTCAAAATATTCTGTAGATTACTTCCAGAGTTGAGACCCTTGTTTCAATTTGTAGAACCTTGTGAACCCTCAAACGACAAAATTTATAATCTGATCTGTATGGAACTGTCTTGTAAAGGCCCCCAATTACCTACAAAGGAATAAATATGCGACAACCCTTGTCGACCGCTCGGACGATTTAGCCGCTGTGGGCATATGTTTCGTTGCCTGGCAACCTATCTTTGAAGAATATATAAAATATAGACATAAATATATTTAATTATTTGTGATAAATTACAGAGAATGGCATATTTATTAGGTTTTGTCTCCTAATGATGACCTGACGCGACCTTGTCAACTTTGGACCCCATTGGAAATAAGCAACGGATGTTATATACGCCTGGCTTTATGGGCTATCCTAAGTAAAGGTCTCCTCATGACACCATACCTATCATACTTCTCTATTCTCGTCTCATTTCACATCCCAATCATACAATGCAGCACTTAGTTCTTATTTCATATTTATATTGATTGTTATCACCTTCCCAATCATACGATGCAGCACATAGTTCGTATTTCATATATATATATTTAATGTTGTCATGTTGTAACCTTTACTTGAAGAATAAATAAATAAAATCTTTTAGCCTGTTCTCTGTCCATCTCTTGCAAAATGAGGGCGCATCTTTCATGGCAACTGCCTGTCTTTCATTTGAATCACAGATAAATAAAACAAGATGGTTCTATATCTCATACTCTTACTTTAAAGTTACAATTTCATATTTTCTAAGAAAGTCAAAAGCAACGGATGTTATATACGCCTGGCTTTATGGGCTATCCTAAGTAAAGGTCTCCTCATGACACCATACCTATCATACTTCTCTATTCTCGTCTCATTTCACATCCCAATCATACAATGCAGCACTTAGTTCTTATTTCATATTTATATTGATTGTTATCACCTTCCCAATCATACGATGCAGCACATAGTTCGTATTTCATATATATACTATTCAAAAAAAGTAGGGGGATATTTGATTTTGGGGGCATAATACTAAAATATGCAAATGACTACGAAAAAAGTCACTATAGAACCTAACAGAAGAAACATTTCCAGTTACATGTGACGCCCAAACGCACCAATAGCTACCGCATGGAATGCAGGTGATGCTTGGGATCATCATGGGGGTCCAACCCAAGATTTGCACGACTCTGACTTTGAATGTTACAGTCATTGTGGCATTGAATTCCAGGGTGGAAACATCAGTTTAATTGTTTTAGTGACCAGAAAACAAATTTTGATATGCGTCGGCTTACCCAAAATGAAAGGTTACGTGCCCTTGGCATGCTACAGATCGGCACAACACAGGCGGTTGTGGCGCGGACGATGAATGTTTCTCAGTCTGTCATAAGCAGGCTATGGTCCAGATACCGTGATACACAATCTGTACAGGACAGACCACGCTCAGGTCGACCAAGGGCGACAACTCAAGCCCAGGATCGATTTATCCGTACCTTGGCCTTGAGAAATCGTGTCATCACAGCTAATCAGATCAGCACTCGTCTTCAAACAGACACTGGTGTGAGAGTGAGTGGCCAGACGATTCGGAATCGACTGCATAGGGGTCACCTTCGCGCCCGACGTCCTCGCGTGATCCCTTGTTTGAGAGATCATCACATTCAGGCAAGACGTCGTTGGTGTAGGGATCGTCAACACTGGGATAATCGACGCTGGAGCAATGTGATGTTTTCAGATGAGTCAAGGTTCACTGTTGATTTTTTGGACAGACGTAGGAGGGTGTGGCGTCGTCGAAACGAGCGCTTCCAAGACGTTAACGTCATCAGACATGATCGATTTGGGGGTGGTTCTGTTATGGTGTGGGGAGGCATCACTGTTGCTGGAAGAACGGCTTTACATGTTGTTGCAGGGCGTGTTACAGGCCAGTACTACCGGGACAACATCTTGGCAGTCCATGTTGTGCCGTTCGTACGACGTCATGGCCGCCGTTTCATCTTCCAGGATGACAGCGCAAGATGTCACAGGGCCAGGATCGTTACAGGTTACCTCCAACAACAGAACATCACCACATTACCTTGGCCAGCACTGAGTCCCGACCTCTCCCCCATCGAGCATGTCTGGGACATGCTTGGACAGAGGTTACGTCAACGTCAACAACGTCCTGCCAATGTCCAAGAACTTGCTGCTGCGTTGCAACAGGAATGGGACAATCTGGACCAAAATGACCTTAGACGTCTCATTAGGAGTATGCCACGTCGGATCAATGCTTGTTTGGCAAACAGGGGAGGATTTACCCGTTACTGACTTGGTTGTGATGCTGTGGTAACTTTGCTGTTTGACCCCGGGTATCATTTTACCCTTATAATGGTCAGTCTGTGCCTTACTTAGTCTAACGATCATTTGGAATAAATCGATGAATGTGAACTTCATTTCATTTTGTCATTTGTTTCTTCGTCAGTTTCATTAGGTGACTTTAATAACACTTAAAAATCAAATATCCCCTACTTTTTTTTAATAGTATATATATTTAATGTTGTCATGTTGTAACCTTTACTTGAAGAATAAATAAATAAAATCTTTTAGCCTGTTCTCTGTCCATCTCTTGCAAAATGAGGGCGCATCTTTCATGGCAACTGCCTGTCTTTCATTTGAATCACAGATAAATAAAACAAGATGGTTCTATATCTCATACTCTTACTTTAAAGTTACAATTTCATATTTTCTAAGAAAGTCAAAACATAATTATTGTCCCCCGCCTTTCGAAGAAAGCAGGGGACTATTAAAATGGGTTCGTCCGTCTGTCTGTCCGTCCGTCCGTCCGTCCGTCCGTCCGTCTGTCTGTCCGTCACACTTTTTGGGACACAATAACTCTCTTCCTAATTGAGCTAGAATGTTCAAACTTGGTGTATGTGTTTATTAGGCCAATGCCTTGATGGAGTTCGAAGATGAGCATTTTCCGCTTAGGGTAAGCAGAGATAAGCAATTTGATTGGTTGATGCTTTGGGACACGATAACTCTCTTCCTAATTGGGCTAGAATGTTCAAACTTGGTGTATGTGTTGATTAGGTCAATGCCTTGATGGAGTTCGAAGATGAGCATTTTCCGCTTAGGGTAAGCAGAGATAAGCAATTTGATTGGTTGATGCTTTGGGACACGATAACTTTTAATTGAGCTAGAATGTTCAAACTTGGTGTATGTGTTTATTAGGTCAATGCCTTGATGGAGTTCGAAGATGAGCATTTTCCGCTTAGGGTAAGCAGAGATAAGCAATTTGATTGGTTGATACTTTGGGGCACGATAACTCTCTTCCTAATTGAGCTAGAATGTTCAAACTTGGTGTATGTGTTGATTAGGTCAATGCCTTGATGGAGTTCGAAGATGAGCATTTTCCGCTTTGGGTAAGCAGAGATAAGCAATTTGATTGGTTGATGCTTTGGGACACGATAACTTTAGTTCTAATTAAGTGAGATTGATGAAACTTGGTGTATAGATTTATTATATGAATACCTTAACTAAGTTCGATAATGAACATTTTTTGCTGAGGGTAAGCAGAGTGATAAGCAATTTGATTGGTAGAAACTTTGGAACACAATAACTCTCCTTCTAATTGAGGTAGAATGTTCAAACTTGGCATAGGTGTCTATTAGGTGAATGTTTAAACTTGATGTATATGTAGATGTTCATTAGGTGAATGTCTTGACTGAGTTCAATAATTAACATTTCGAGCTGAAGCTAAGCAGAGCTAATCGATTTCATTTGTCGATGGTTTGGGACAAGATAATCTTGATTCTATCTGATAGAGAGTGATGAAACTTAGTGAAAAAAATAAATGTGCGATTAATTAATATGTGTCATCTATTTATTTTGCAATTTCGGCGGGGGACATCAGCCTCACTGTTGGCTTGTTTCTATGTCTTTTGCTCAGTAGGTTGTCAACTCACTATTATACGATCATAGGTGTCATGCTCACACTTAAAACTCATTTACACCGGAAATAATAACACAATTACCTCCCTTGTTTTCTATTCTCCACCATGGAGTAGTTATCTTCAAACGTTGGAATTTGAAGATGAAAATGATATTTTTGCCAATTTCTCAACTGGCAATAGTGAATTATAGGATTAATAGGATTATTCTTTAACAATTAAGGTAGGACTGTTTATAGATACCATCTATTTTAAGGCTTTATTTGAATAAATTTTAAAAATATAACTTGAAAATATGAAATTGCAACTTTAATGTTTCCTTACAGGAAATGGGAATGAAAAATGGTTTACATCGTAAGAAGTTACAGTTAGCATTACAAGTTATTGGATCAGAGAGTAATGATAGATTGAGTGATCTCGACCATAATTGGGTTACAAGTAAGTGACATTTTATGTATATTGTTTATTAAATTGCATACATGTACACACATTTGGTCAGATATTGTCATCAAAACTGTGTATTTCAGTCTATACAACTTTTCCTGTGAACACTGTACGTGACACTATACGACAGTTCTTGTCACATTTATTTCAAATTTCCAGGTGTTGCCCATTGTAATTCAAAAATATTCTATTGCTTATACCAGAGTTATCTTCCAATTTACAACATGCATACTTATGAAATGTTACAGGAGGAAATAAAGAAGAATGATATTGAATTTCAAAATTTTTGGATTGTGAATTGCAAACATTTTATTCAATCACCTCTATGTTCATATTTTGAATTTTTAAGCTGTGAGAGTGATTCTGGACAAAGGTCTAGTTAAGATTTTGAGATCGTAAATTTCGAATGCCTTTTGCAGAGTTGTCTACATATTTGACTTTAAATACTTGGACAGACTTCATAATAGACCGGAGGCTCAGTGCGCGGGGCAATCTGTTTCACAGAGAATTACGAGTCTCGTATAATATCTCTGTCATAGATGACTGCCTTAACACGTGCTGTCACAGCACGCGGTGTGAATCATTGGCTGAATGGCGCGTGCATTGTTTACATAAGTAATAACTGCTTCGGAAAGAATGCTGCATTTTAGTCATTTTAATACCCATTTACACTAAATCGGAAATAATTTTTAACTACAAATACGTCAAACGCCTTTATTTATTTTTCCAATATATACAAAAAATGTTTTAGAATTTAATTTGTCGCAGGAAAAAAGTTAATATTTCTAGCTCATTAAGCCGCATCAATGTCATCCTTATCAGTGATTGTCGCGGCCAAGCAAATATTCACTGCGGATCAGTGTGTGCACGGGGGTGTCCATCAAATGGGCACAAAACCAGGCCCAACTTTTCTTTAGTAAAATTTTGCGTAGCATTAGTGCTCCTACGGCTAGTCTGCTAACCGTAAACCGTTTGGAATTGGACGGTTTAACAGTTCGAATTGAAAGGTACGGTTATTCTGAGATGTGTCCATTGAATAGAGTTATCTCCCATAATAAACGTTTCCATGACGACAAGGCGCCATTTTGAAAATTAAACATGTCAGCTAGAAAAGCAAGCGCCGTTTGGCATTATTCCGATAAACTTCCGAAGGAAGATAAGGCCAAATGCACTTTGTGCAGCACAACACTTGTTTGTAGGAACACCACATTGTGTCTTAGAAACCATTTATTTATTTATTTATTTCGGCCGACCCCTACCGCCACAACAACAAACAAGTCTGCCATGAAGAGTACCAAAACAGTGAATACGATCGATGATTCTGACAAGAATGAGAATTCAGTTGACGATACCACAGGAAAATCACTGTTGGATCCGACAGCTGGAAAACTTTAGTCAAAACTTTAGTAGAATTCTGTGCACAAGACATGCGCCCTATAAGTATCGTGAGTGGCGATGGTTTTCGAAGATTCTGCGAGAAACTGAATCCTGCCTTTAAAGTACCATGTCCACAAACTCTTAAAAATCATTTGCAGTATTATTATGATAATTCAAAGTCAGAATTTATTAATAGTTTAGTTTTTGATCAGAACAAAAATTACAAATACAGTTTCACTACTGATGCATGGACCAGCCTTGAAAATGAGGGATATACTACCATTACAATTCATTTTATAGATTCTGAATGGAATGATCATCATAGAGTGCTGAACACACATGAAGTAACTGAGAGACACACTGGACATAATTTAGCTACTGATTTTCTTGAAGTGCTGACAAATTTCGGAATAAAGAAAGAATCTGTTGTTTCAATTACTGCAGACAATGCTGCAAACACGGATGTTTGTATTAGAGAAATAGGTGTAAAACGAATAAAATGCTTTTGTCATTCATTACAGTTAGCTGTAAAGGCAGCATTTAAACTTGGTTTTATGGACAAAATGCTTGGATCTGCCAGAAGAAACGTAACTTTCTTTAACAAGTCCATGGTAGCTAATAACTGTTTCAAGGAGAAACAAAAACAGCTAAAATTACCTCAACAGAAACTCATACAAGGTTGTGCTACACGATGGAATTCAACATATTTTATGATAAAAAGATTGCTGGAACAACGGTTGGCCATATTTGCAGTAATTCATGAACCTGGAGTGGTGAAACCAAGTGATGCGAGGTCATATGAATTATCTGATAAAGATTGGTCACTTATGGAATCTTCTGTTCTTATTTTAGAACCACTACAAATGGCCACAACAATTTTATGTGGAGAACAGTATCCAACAGCTGCAATGATCTACCCAGTAGTTGCTGGACTCCTTAATATTCACTTGAAAGAATCGACCGATGACAGCCCAAAGATAAAGAAGGTAAAACTGACCATAGCATCCGATCTATCCTCTCGTTTTTTCTCGGCCAATGACCACGACATAGCCAGTCATCCAGCTATTATAGCCAGTGCACTGCATCCTAGCTATAAGCATTTAAAGTTTTTGAATGTAGGACAGAGAATTGGAATCTGGGATCATTTGCCCACGTTGCTCACTGAGGTGATTGATGAATAGAGTCAGATCACTCTAAGTCATACAGATATTAAACCTACCCAAGTTATAGAGACAACATTTGAAGATGTTGATGTACCACCAGCTAAAAAATCAAAACCACTGGAATTTCTAATGGGTGATTATTATGACAGAGGTGAAGAATCAAGACATGGGTCACCAAATACAAATAGACATGATGCTGAATACACAATTGAAATGTTCAAATTGGAAAAGGTTTTAAAGGAGTGCTGCAATCCGCTTCAGTAGTGGTAGTCAAATGAAACCCGTTACCCATTTCTTTGCCAACTTGCTAACTTGCCAAAATATATCTCAATATTCCAGGAACGTCTGTAGCATCAGAGAGAATTTTTTCTGCCACAGGAAATATTGTCAGTGAAAAATAGGGCAGCCCTTGCCCCTGACAATGTTGACCAGTTAATTTTTGTGAGAGAACTTTTACGAGAGAAGAAAAACAAGGGTTAGGTTCATAGAACGTGTGACTTCTGCAAGTTTACAAGTTTTATTTTCTGTGATTTGTTAAATTTGTCCTTCAGGCAAAGATTAGCCATTTGAGATTATTTTACAATATTCATAAGTTCACGTTTGTGAGACAGTAAATCTAATAAAAATGAGACATTCCTGACTTTTTTCAAATTAGGTTTAAAAGATTAAACCTAGTGAAAATGTGTTGGTTTTTTTTTTCAAATAATACTTTGAGATGCCCCCTTTGTCATTTTTAAAGTATTTAACAATGGTATGCCGAGAGGTTGTCTTATAGCCCTAGTGCACCGTATATGAAAGCCTGTCCGTAAATTAATTAGGATCATGGATAGGTGGATCTAGTAATAATGCCATTCTGGATGTTGTTAAATAAGATTTAGCTTCACCTGTCAAAACTAATTAAGTTTTAGTTTATATATATTATTTTGAGATGCCCCCTTTATCTTAATATTATAATGTGTATGACCTGTCAATGGATGAGTAGTTGTTTATTTGTTTTACAAGAATCTAATAAAAAAAAAATGTTATTCTCAGGTTTTAAATATTACTGTTTAAAAGTTACAGTAGGTTAGTTACTGAGATCGGGCGCTTTCTTCTTGCCAACTATTTTAGTTTCAATTCTATTCCACAATGTATTTATCGTGAATATTTCGCTGAGCAGTCAAGAGATGTTCGTCTTAAAATCTCAATAATCATGAGAAGGCAAGAACAATTACTAAATTGGCATCCTGTATGTATGCGACATCATTACTGTCAAAAATTTGCCAATTTAAGAAGCCAAAGGGAATTTGCATTTACGAACGTTCACTCAGTAATCATGTGATATGATACGGTTCGACTATAATCAGTTGAGTTACATTGCATCTTGATCACACACAAACTGTCGATAATTATAGTTGCCTGATTATACGTCTTTAATGGTTTTAATACGGTGGTTTTCTTTATATTTAGTACTTTCAAATATTTACAAAGAGGAAAAATACAGGCTTTAGGATGTGGGGGGTAAAGCTAATATTTGTAGGTAAGCTTCCTGATGTATTAAAAACTACTTGCTTGTAAAGCATACGGCGATGTGAGTGGGTATTTACTATTATATGTTGAAAATTGATACCAAACGGTTACTAACCGGTTACTAACTGGTTAATAGCTACGGTTATTCGAATAACAAAAAGTCCTAACCGTAGGAGCACTACGTAGCATATGATGCCAAGTGGTCAAAGGTCAAATGAGGCCATTTCCAATGAAAGTGAATATACAGCCATTCCTGTATCATGAAAACATGCTAAAAATGATCAAAATTTATCACTCTTTCAATATTCAATTGTTTTTTTGGACAACTAGTTTCCAAACTCGTTGTGAAACTATATCGGGGAGATTTTGATTTGATAGTTTTTATGTATTTTTCAAACAGGTTTCGAAGTGTTTTGGTTCTGTTATACAAGATCTTTTTTGATGTTCCAAAGTAAAAGTTTGGTGCTAAGACTACCTAAAGATAAATTTTAAATGTTCCTATTATTAATTAGAACAGGTTTCGCTCTAGCTTTTATACGCCCACATTTTCATGTGGATGTATATTGTTGTCGCCCCTGTCTGTCCGTCCACAATTTGTTTGTGGACACTCTACAAGTCACAAGTTTTATCCGATTTTGACGAAACTTGAAATATAGGTCTATCTCCCAATGATTAGCATGTATCGGACCATAATTTCATGGATTATGGCCCCTGATTGTACAAAATATAATGATGAAACTTGAAATGCATGTTTATAACCCAAATATCTTGTTCCCTTTCGATATTCGTGCATATAAGATCGTAACTTCCTGAATTATGGCCCCTGATTGTACGAAAAATTGCGTTTTTAGCTTGTGATCCCTCTAGAGGTCACAATTTTTATCTGATTTAAAAAAATGTTTTAGTATATCACCGTTACACCCTAATGATGGTTATGTTCAAAAT